GCACATTGCACCGTCTCGGGGAGTCCTTTGGTTTGTACTATTCTGCCTCTTTGTCCGTTCTCCTCCGTCCACTAAACATTCTCGTGTTGGCCGCTCTCGACCGTCCGTAAGTCATAAGCCCCTATTCACCACTGCCCTCGGACTTGCCTGGGCCTTCTCAACTCACCTGCTTCTCTCTTTCCTAACCCCTTCTTAGATTTCCGCTTGCCCCCCGTGTTCTTTCTCCCCCGCTCTTTTGGGTTTTCCGTCCACTTCCGGTCAGCCCCCCATTTCCTCCTAGCTCTTTGTTTTCGGTCCTTTCCGTGTGTCGTTGTGACGCCCCATATGGTCCCTTCTTTTTGCGCCCCCGGCCCCTCTCGCCTATGATTCTGTTTGCCTACCTCTTCCACTTCCCATCTTTTGTTACACCAGTCGTCTTTTGATGAACCCGACCACTACGCACTCTTTGGTGAAAACCGGTAGTTTTTGCACAAACTGAGCGCATCGAACATACCGTTTAAAGCTCCCGTTCCATCCTTCTTATTAGCCTCCGATGCGTCTCATCCCGCTATAGTGTTGTGCCAATAATTTTCACTAAGACGGGCTTCTGCGTCGTCTTTTGGGTGTGGTCGGGCTCTTTGCCCGTCTGGGCATTGTGTCTCTGTACCGCGTTTGTATCCCTTCGGTCAATTTTACGGCTGCGCTTTCGCCGGTCCAGTCCGTCGTCTTTCGGGTCGCTTGGCACGGCAGTGGGCGCGGGCATCGTCCTCCGCGCCTCGGTGCGCAAATTCTCTGGACGGCGGCTCTCGCTGTGACATCGCTTGCTGCATCACATCTCGCACGGTGCCATCTGCCTAGCTTGCGCAAGACGCGCCGCCGTCCCCGGTTTTTCCCGGCACTCGCACCCCTGGCGTCTGTGTGTGCGTGAGAATGCGTCCGGTCCGACGTACCTTGAGAGCTCAGATTCTCACGGCCGAGACACGGGGAGCGGGTGCGACAAAGGGTGTACCCTCAGAAAAGTAGCTTGTTACCCGTTAAAATCTTTTGCTTGGGTTTAAGCTGCACCTACTCTGTTTCATGTGTGGGCTGTCGTTGACGCTCTCGATGCCTTACAAACTAGCTGAGTTTTAACGCACAACCCACTCGTTGTTATCTTTAGATGGGCGTTTCACTTTTCTAAAGCAACTTTTTAATATTCCGAAAAAGGTTGTCCAATTTCCCTTCCTTTTGAGTCGTCCTGGAAAAAAATGAATAATCTAAATTTTTGAGCTTCGCAATTTTCAACATTATATTTTTCTTACATGTAAATTCTAGAGTTTTCTTTACATGTAATTTTCCCCTTTGAAACTTACAGAGGCAGACACCAATTAGAGATGAATATTTTGATTTACTGATTATAATTGATCTTGAAAATTTAAGAAAGATCGGTCTCACAGTTTAAGCGGGCATCATAATTGCAAAAACTTGTGGCAAAAATGTTGTCTGGCGCAGTGTACAGCGATTTTTGTTGATTCTAGTCTGATATGTTTTAGTGTTACGTATCTTTTTCGGAAACATTTGTTCCGGGAGAGTATTCATCCCTCAAATACAAATTCGAGTATTGTATGATTAGAGATTGTGTTCCGTATTTCATAAGTTAGATTAGACGTCCAATTGGAATATTCAAAGTTACTCATCGACCACGAGGAAGGGTTGCCCTTCGAATGCTGTCTATCGACTGAGAGCAGCGATATCGGAAAAGTTTTATCTCATACTGTTATCTTTGGGATACCAGAACAGGTAGTGGCGTGCGTATATGAGCCGAAGCACACATCAAGGGTGTTCGCCGATAATTCCCGGATTAAGCATCGTAATCGGAAACGTCCTGCAACTGATTAACATTACTCATACTAGACTCCACGTATTTTCACATTTATGATTCATATTAATTAAGAATATTAATTGAATGTCTGCCTTTCGAGATGAACAAATCCGATCAGTAAACTCCTTGTGAGAATAATCCTTGATATCGGCACGGCTATAGTCAGCAGTTTAGTACATTATTTTCGGTCCATAAAAGCGTCGTCGTAAGTTTTATTCTAAATTGGCCTGAGTGTAAGGTCCATTTCTGTAAGTGGTTTTGAATGAAACTTCACGAACAGGAAGTCAGAGGCGTCAAAATAAATATTGGAGTTATATAGTTGAGGGAGATTAGACGAGATAAGTTCATTAGACCTATAAAACAACAGTTCCTTAATATAACCAAAATGTTTTTCTACATCGTCGAGAACAGAACATTTTAATAATTATTCTAGACACATTAATCATGCCAAGGGTATCAAGCACAACTCTAGCTAGGCCGGCACTAAATTGATCAGTAAGGCTTTGAGCATCAGTAGTCTTGCTTTGTCAGTCAAAGATGAGCTTAACTTAGCTTAGCACAAGGTGGTTCGGTTCCATTATCTTTGTAATGGTGTCAGTAACGCGTATTTACTGCCAGACCTCCACGTGGTAATGTTTGATTCTTCACCAGCAACACTTTATTTTTACTCAGCAGATTCATCAACGCAATGAGATGAATGCGTCTGCCGCAGTATTGCATTAATGAGACAAACAATAAAGGGGCAAGGGCGCGGTCAAATCAATCGTGAACTAAGCTGTGAAAGCAATAAGGTTGTTCTAACAGTAGTTTGATCATTATTGAACAGAACCGGTTTAAGCTTGTGCTTTTAAAGAATGGTCCATGTTAACATTTCTTTTGTTTTACTTTTTTGTACTTGCCGCTTCACAGCAATTGGTCTAAGCTTGTGTGTTGAGTGCCCTGCTGTAATATAGAATTCCATCATTAAGAGGTTTGGTTGGGTAACTTAGTTCAGTGCCCACGGCTTTGTGAGTTCGCGTGCGGGCCGGCTCCGCCGCTCTGTTGCCCACTGCTTCGCTCCCAGCGCGCTTTTCGTGCGCGTCGCCTGGTAAATGGCGCTGTCCCCTAACGAAGAAGCGTCTGAGGTAGCCCACGACGACTCGCTTGCGCTCTTATCCAGGTAAGGCCTGCGCGTAGGTGCACATTACGCTCCATGCTGCCTTCCGACTAGCATACTGAACCGTCCGGATCCTGGGCGCGACTGGGCCTGCCACCCCTCATGCCGCTTACAGGGGCCTCTATCCCATGACGGCTGCGTCCACCGTCCGTTCGCCCCGCCGCAAGGTCCCCGTCCGGTCCGGGTTTCCCGTCCCGTCCGGTCCAGGAGTATCTGCCCGCATCACGCTCCGGACGCCGCCCGCTCACGGAATCCGCTCCGCCCGCACGATATCCGCCTCGTCCGCCCTCGCTCCGCAAGCGTCCGCCACGCCGGCCGGCCCGCCGCCCGCCTCCGCGCTCCAACCAAAGTCTGTCTCAGGCTGAGCCCAACTCTGGTTCGTGCGCGCTGTCGACATGGCCTCTGTCGACGGCACCTTCCGTCGTCGCTCCCGCCCTGAGATATACACGGGCGCCCGCCCGTACCGATTCACTACCAACCCGCGCTCCTGTCTGACGTTCCTTCCCACGATTCGGATGTTCCGCGCGCCTGGTGGCTGCCGCAACTCCAGCCCAAGTCTCGGCCGTCGCCTGTCCCTCCCGTCCGCGCTGGCCGGTCCCTAATACTCGTTCCATCCGTCGGCCCCGGCGGTCTGGGTCGCCACACGCACCTCTTCTCTTTTCTTTCCCAATAGCCTGCCCCGCACCTGGCGGTCCGGCGCTGCGCCTCTTTAGCTCGGAATGATGTTCAAACACATTGCTGCGTTTCTCGGTCCAGGCTTATTGGTGCCTGTAAAACCTGTAATTTTGTAATTGCTTATCTTGTAAAAATTTTTGCACGGAACGGTCTGATCACGGGTAACGCTACACATGGAGGCTTTCGTTTTTGCTCGCAATCCCCTTTCTTGGTTGGTTTCTTCAACTTTTAATACTGCTCTCTGTTTCTCACTGATTTTTCCCTCTAAAGCTGCCTGTAATTGTTGAGGATGTATCCTGCATAGTCTGTTCTATGTACAGTGAGAATGGATAGCAGAAAGTATTATTCGGATTTCCATTGATATGTGTTGTTGAAGGACTGGCTCGACGGTAGTCTCGTTACCATATAGCATATTTTGTGACCTTATTTGTGCCCAAAAATAAAAAACATTTATTTAACTGACTAACTACTATGCTGCGAAATTGCATTTATAGTGATTTATGACTCCCACTACTCAATTGAAATGATGAAAAAGTCCATTTCTAATTAATCTTGCATTTGAGATTTCTACAACGTAGTTTTCAATTGTAACTAATGTAGTGTGATGGATATAAATTATAGAATACAGTGCACAGTGAACTGAGAAAATTATTAATTCGTGATTTATTCTTATATTTGCCGTTTCAAATTTTAGGATATTATGGGATCTGGCTTCCTGCTCCTCCGAGCCGTAACCCGATGTTTGCTTTTCATGGGAACCGATCTTCTATTCGATATACCGAGAACCTGAGTCGGCGGAACCGAGCACAACGACCGACCAGAACCTCATACTGGCCGACACTGGCTGCAAATCTCCGGAACGGACGCCAGACACCCCTTCATCGGAACTCGCAACATTTCATCTGTCGAGACCATGGCGGGCTCACGGAATCATCAAGATTGCTATAACCCGGAAACCGACTGGCGTGGAACCCGCGGGTGGTGGGAGGGGGTGGGGAGGGTGGAGTAACCTGAGGACCAACATCGGAACCGCGTGCGGAACCGGACACGCCGAACCTGGACTTCTAGCGCTGAACTGGTACTGGCCATCCCCCGGGTTGTCGTTTTCGTACCGTCTGCCCACCCCGAACTCCAGATACTTCTTAATTCAATTGAAAGCGCCATGCCCCTGGCTTCTTTCCCGACACTGCAGATCGGCCCCTGGAAACGACGGGCCCCGGAACCGGCCATTAGGGTCAACACGAGAACCGTCGTAATTGGGCACCTCCGTTCGTCAGAGCGAACGAGTGACCGGGCCCGAACGACCGCATCGTCGCCAGATGCCGAGAGATGCCCGCGGAGCACCCTGCGACTCCGAGCCTGCAGGCCTCGCGGTGGAGAGAGCGTCAAGGGCGGCGCGGGCCGGCGGACGGCCTGCAACGCCGGGCCATCGCGAGCGGGTCCCTGGCGCGCCCACCGGGACTCCCGCGTCCCCGAGTCGAACCCGCGCCCGGCACCGAGCCCGTCGGGGGCCCCCCCGGCGGCGGCCTCTGGCTGCTGGGGCCCCGCGTGTGAGGAGCCTCTACAACCATGGTGAACTTCTCAACGATACCGCCGAGGAAGAGTTCACGACGCCGCCAGCTTCACTACGACCGAACCGAGGCGCGC